GCTAATAGGCGGCTGGGAGAGAGGACGACGCCAAGCGAGGGAGGGGGGGGGGGGGCGGGGGGGGCTGGTGGACTACTTAAGGTGCAGGCTGTGTTCTTAAAATAAAAACTAGTCAACAAGAGGGTCAAAAACTGTACTGTTACTGTGCTTTTTGAATCAGTTACACCTACAATGACATTGTATCAAACAAGTAGCTCTTCGTATCACTAAGGGCCCTTGAAGTAGCTCTCAGGTTCAAAAAGGTTGGTGACCCCTGCTGTAGAGTAAGTGCGGGTCCAGCCGTATATTTACAGAGTACATAAAATAATAAAAGTGTCATCTTCATCGGAGTTTATTGACAGGGTGGAGACGTGTCAATAAAAAACTAGAGTTCAGATAAAAAGCTTCTTAACTAAAACAACTAAACACCTTGAGATCAAGTTCTGATACGGGGGTCTCCCTTCACTGAGATCGCCAGTTTAAAGGTGTGTAAAGGACAAAGGTCAAAAATAAAAAAAAGTTACAGTTTGGATCTGAGACTGTGAACGAACTTGTTCTGGTTTTAAGAATAAATAAAACAAAGGCCGTGACAGTTCAACATAGAAACCTGTTGGGGGAGCTGCTCAGAGGTCGAGGTCGAGGACGAGCACGAGACAGTGACAGGTGTCACTAAGATGAGCTACAACCACAGCAGAGTTTGCCTTCACCACTAACCACTGTTATACAGCAGCTACTGGGACTGGTGGTGCTCAATCTATGGCACGCATGCCATCTGTGGTACTTGGTCTTACTTTGTCGGATCAGAGGGAAATTTGACTTTTTGTTTTTTAAACTGCTTTGGAAAAGAGGAAAATGGGAAAAAAAAAAAAACGTCTGGAACCATGTTCATATTATGAACCAAAGGCCGTGGAGTAAATTCAGTATTTTAGTTTTCAGGGACCATTTGGTCAGAACGTATTTTAATTCAGGTTTTAAAAACAGTGATGTGATAGCTAATTTGAACAGACATGAAAAAGGTTCCTTAAGACGAGACTGGTTTGATCCAACAGGCACCTGTTTCAGTCTTTAAAGAAACTTCAAAAACCTTCCTAGGTTATCTGTTTGGTTCAACTGGATAAGGCTGAGCTAACTGTTAGCATTCTCTGAACCAAAGTCCTTTAAGATAAAATTGACATTTTTATCTAACAGAAGCCCAGTAGCTGATGTTGGGGTCCTTTAGGTAAAGATAAACAGGATTTACACAACAAAAAACTACCAGTGAACACTGGGTTGGAGAGGGTATTGGACCAACAACTCCTACTTTTATGACATGAAAGTTCAGGGGTTGTGTGGGGTTTACAAAGCTGCACAAAGTTAACTGTGTGCGCAGTTCAAATACACAGACTGAGAACTGACAGTAAACATCCAAACATCAAGTCCATGAAGAAAAACCCTAAGGATTAACACGCCAGATCGGACTCCCAAACTGTTTTCCACTTAAAGACAAGCGCTAGCTGCACCAAAGACGCAGCTTTGATTCAAACTACAGTGTTTACATATAAGACAAATGATAGAAAATGTAAAACTATTTTAAACTTCAAACATTAGAATAAAGAAATTACGAAGAAACAATGTGTAACTTGAACAGAAAAACCAGACTGTCATCTGCATACATAAAAATATGTTGGGGCAGAAGGTCATATGATAATAACTATATGTGTGTGTGTGTGTGTGTGTGTGTGTGCTGGGGCTGGACTCTGGACTGATCTGTTATCTGTCATTAACAGCACAGCCACTGTGCTCCACTCCAAGAACTTTCTCCATGTCTTGTACCTGGTAGCTTACCTCTGTTATTTCATCTAAACTCTGTGTGTGTGTGTGTGTGTGTGTGTGTGTAGATGCAGCCATGATCAGTCGCAACTTCAAGAATGTGTTGGTGGTCTCAGTGGCGTTTCTCTCCCTGTTCACAGCCTACGGAGGTCTGCAGAGTTTACAGGTTAGTGCAGGTTAAGTCCACCTGGTTCTCAGACTGAGAACCGGTTCTTACTGACAAAGACCCACTGAGGAGACGCAGCTAAAGATCCTGCTGGGTTCTGTCTTTGCCAATTTACCAAACCAACATTTGTTTGTATTTTTTTAACTCATGTCTTCACTTGTTTTTTGGCATTAATTGTGTATATTGCGTTGCTGCATCGCTACAATATAAACAATTGAAATAATAAAAATTAGTTTTGAAATGAATAATTCTTGGTTCTTTGTTTGACGACATTATCTGCCATCGTTATTTTGCACTTTCGGAAATTCAGTCCAGATAACAGATTTATACCTGTGTGTGTGTGCACACACAGAGCAGTCTGAATTCAGAGGAAGGGATGGGTGTGGCCTCCCTCAGTGTCATCTATGCCTCCATCATCATCTCCTCCATGTTTCTACCCCACATCATGATCAAAAACCTGGGCTGTAAGTGGACCATCGTGGTCAGCATGGTCTGCTACGTCTCCTACTCCTTTGGAAACCTTTACCCCGGATGGTAATTCTTTTCAATTGTTGTTTATTTATTTTAGTGTGTTTGTCCAATCATGTTTTTTCCACCCTTGGCCTCAAAATAGCTAGCGACATCTCTGGTGCTACGAACAACAGAACCCTACGATCATAGTAAGTCAAGTTAAACAGATAGACCTCCCTGAAATCATAAGACACCTCACCCTTTTTTTTTTAAGGACAAAGCTCTTTGTCGTTGATGGAGTCTGAAGTCTCCCTCTGTCCTGTTTATCAGAGAATTCCTTCATCTCACTCAGGTACACCCTCATCCCCACCTCAGTGATCCTAGGACTCGGTGGCTCCACCCTGTGGTCAGCCAAGTGCACCTACCTGACCATCACTGGCAACCAGCAGGCGGCTCTGGAGGGGAAGAAGGGTGCTGATGTCATCAACCAGTATTTTGGCATCTTCTTCTTCATCTTCCAGTCGTCGGGGGTTTGGGGAAACCTCATGTCGTCGCTCATCTTTGGGCAGGACACGGCGATTGGTAAGAAGATGTGGAAGAAAGACATTAAAAAACACCATTAAAAATTATGTTTTAGTTACATCCAGCAGAGGTCAGTAAACTAAAAATTAAAATTTCAATAAAAATAAAAATTCAATAAAACAATTAAAAAAATAAAATAAGTGCAGTTTTCATGAATAAAGTCAAAATTAAAAATAAATGAAGGAAACAGGTTTGATCACTTACGTCCTTTAGTGGAGCCCCCTGTCTTTGTCAGAGGAAAGAACATGAAGAAAATCTGACTGAAGCAAAAAAAAACAAAACATTTAAGATGAACAGTGTAATACACACAAACAGGATGTTGATGCACACGGAAACATGTGGGGTCAAAGTGTGTTGTCATTTACTTTTATGATCTGCCATCTCAGTGCATGGTAACAGATGTGTTTTCCATTTTTACTGTTCAAATACTTTTAATGTTGTCAAGCTTATCAGATGGAATTGTTTTATAGAGCTTTTTATAGAGCTATTTAGACCAAATTACTGCTATTTCCTGGATCCAGATTTATGGACCCAGGAATATATCATATATATTGTCATATATACATATAACATGTTATTTCCTGGATCCAGATTTAACATGACTGAATATATATATAAATATATATATGTATATATACAGTATATACTGTATATATACATATATATATTTATATATATATATATATATAAATATATATATGTATATATATATATACTGTATATACACACACATACATATATATATATATACAGTATATACTGTATATATTTCCCTTTTCTTTTAATTACCTACGGTTGTTTGTTTTCTGACAGCCAACATCCCGGAGGAGCAGCTTCAGTTGTGTGGAGCAGCTGATTGTGGTATGAACATCAGTACCAACAGTACCAGCACCAGACCTGCTCAGAAACTGGTGTGGACACTTGTGGGCTGCTACATTGGTGAGGACCAGGTGGTACTGATCCCAGGCGTTCTTTCCACTTGTCTTCAAGGACATGTCTTTGTCGTTTTTGTTAATATTCTGCCTCTGGGTTCTAGGCGTCGGCGTTCTGGCCACTATTATCATCGCCGCGTTCCTGGACAACATCGATCGAGAGCAGGCCAGTCAGTTCCGTGAGAACCGGGAACCGTTCTGTCAGACCTTCCTGGCCACGTTTGCACTCCTGAGGGACTGGAGGATGCTGACGCTGATTCCGCTCACCATGTACAGCGGCTTTGAGCAGAGCTTCCTGTCCGGGGAGTACACCAAGGTTCAGATGGAGACAGTGACCATCTACAGTTTGGCCAATCATCATCAACACCCCTCTGACCGTTTGTGTTTGTGCAGAACTTCGTGACCTGTGCCCTGGGGATCCACTATGTTGGATTTGCCATGATGTGTTTCGCAGCCGTAAACTCTGTGTGCTCCTACATCTTTGGCCGACTGGCTCAGTACACGGGCAGAGCTGCTCTCTTCCTCCTGGGTAAACACACCTGACAACTACAGGAAAGAGAAAAAAAAAACAACAAAAGAAACTCTTTGTAGTTTAATTTTGTAGGTATAACATGGGGATTTACAGATGTGACTGGCTGGTCTTACTAGATTCTGATCTGTTCGCAGCTCATGTTAACTACGAGATTAGAGCTGTGTATTGGCTAGAATCTGGCAATACAATACGTTTAGCAACGAAGGGGCAACGATACAATATATTGCAATATACTACGATATTACAGGCATGACAATATATTGAGGTTTTTTTTTACAGGCATGACAATATATTGAGTTTTTAAAAAAAAATAATTTAACTGTATTAAAACTGTCATCATAGTAAACACACAATGCTATTCTTAACATCAGGTTGCCATCTTAACATCAGGTTAAAATCCATACAACGCAGTAGAATATTAATACAATATTGTGAATTGAAATATTGCAATATTTAAGTCTATTGATATTTTCTTACATTCTTAATTATATCGATTGATATTGAATCGCGTTTTGTCACACCGTTACCATTGATTGTGTACGTGTGGTTACCGTTCAATTTGCGCCTATTGCGTTTGGTGTGAACGCCTCCATTCCATTCATCTGATCTGTGAAGCTGTTGTCTCTTCAGCTGCCGTCACCAACTTCTCCTGCATCATTGGTCTGTTGCAATGGAGGCCTGATCCCAACCAGTTGGCCGTCTTCTTTGTGTTTCCTGCTCTGTGGGGGATGTCAGACGCTATCTGGCAAACTCAGACCAACGGTAGGAAACCTATCATCAGTGTGAACAGATCTGAGCAGAGTCAAAAGGAAGATAGATGTTCTCACCAAACCTTCAACATTAGGGATCAAGAAAACATTCAGATAAATGTAGGAAAATTCTGAGGTACCATCATGTGTTGTGGTAAAAGGTCTAAGACTAAACCTAAAGACTCTTTCCTGGTCATCTTTCCACAACAAATCTGGATGACTACGATTATTCTAACCAAATTAATCTTAATAAAACAGTGGTAGTAGTTATTTTACAGTTGATTTATTAACTCCCGACCTTAACGTTTGTATGTTCTCGTACTTTCTCGCAGCTCTTTACGGAATTATCTTTTCACAAAACAAAGAGGCAGCATTCGCCAACTACCGCATGTGGGAGTCTCTGGGATTTGTCATCTCCTTCGCCTACAGCACCTTCTTGTGTCTGGAGTATAAAATGTACATTCTGTTGACCGTCCTGCTCCTGACAGTGGTCACCTACCCTGTGGTTGAGTACCACGAATACAAGAATCCCACAGCGGCACTCGTCGATCAGGACAAGTCCTGTGGCCACCAGGAGAAAAATGACGACATTGTTCAGACTAAAATGTAGACGCTGAACTACGTCACAGTACTGTACAATCACGTGCCAGAAACTTCAAACTCCAAATCTTTTTCCAGATTTTTCTGACAGTGTTTCCTTGACAAGTTGTAACCACCACAGAATAAACATTTATTACTTACAATCACTGTGTCAGAGTCGGCAAAATGGTTCATTTATGTACCGTAGTCTCTACCGATATTTACTTAGAATTTTCACCCAGAAGCCCGAAGGTAGGACCACCAAAAATAATTTTTACAATGCCATGGATAAGTACATTTAACAGTTTTTGACACTTCTTGGCCAGAATTCTACATGAGAAGTAAAAGACATAATCATCTGCAAAAGTGTTGACGTCAACCAACTCCATAGTTCACATGATGAAGGATAGTCGGGCAGAAAATGATGCATTTCAAATGGTGCTTTTTATTGCAATGTGTTGCATTCCCACATTCATAGATGTTATAGATTTGTTAGTCAAAGCATCATTTCCTCAAGGTTGGCATCCTCACCTTGGAAAAAGCAGAGGGATCAAATGCACGAGGTGTTTGTATTTTGAGTGTAGTAGAGAAGTGTGTGTGTGTGTGTGTGTGTAAACTTGAGCAGCCACGAACATATGAATGAGAAAAAAAATACTTCCAGTAGATGCAAAAAAGACAGTTTTAATTGTCAAAAGAAAAAAAATGAGAGACAGAGACAGTGAGAAAGAAAGAGAGAGAGAGAGAGAGAGAGAGAGAGAGAGTTTTTTTGTCTATCAGCCTACAGGGCTCTCACTCCCTACAGGGACTGGACCCGGCCTGAGACTGATTGTCTACAACATTCCAAAGAAAAGGTAGATTTTCTTTATATTCACGTTACACACCTGAACAGGAGGAAGGTTGAGGGGCCGTAAGAGAGAGAGAGAGAGAGAGAGAAAGAGAGGAGGGAAAGACAGAGAAAGAGAGACAAAAAAAGAGAAAATATACATGCATAAAATTCTCCCAGATGAACATTGTCACTCATATTGTCTTGAAATAGCTGCTCCGATGCCTCGTTAAAAACAAACTTTACATGAGTGTAATATACAAAACTGGACAAAAATGGGTAAAATGTATAATATATATTTATATCTATTTATATATCTATTTATATTAATTTGTACAAGGGAGAAAGTGGAACCATGGTCTTCCGTTAATTTTTTTTTTTTTTATATTTCTCCCAAAAGAGCATTACCCCCACCCTCGTATGAAAAAAACAGAAAAACAAAAACCCAACACAAAGACAAAGTGGTGAGTTACGTTAATAAGGAGCCTTCTTTGAAAAACCTCTTCACTGCACTCAAACCTAGAATCTCGGTCCAAGTAAGGCAACACGTAAGTACACTGACCACTGACGTTCATGAAGAACAGAGGATTGAACACTGGAGCCGGGAGGTATAGGTTGAGAGGACTGTGGCACAACCTAGGGTGCGCAGACACCAATGCAGATGACAACTAGACCAAGCATTAGTCCAACCCACAACAAGTCAAGTGTCAGTCTGGTCTGGTACCAGGACACTGAACAATTCCTGTCAAGGACAACGGTCCAATCCTTCAGCACGAATAAACCCGAGGTTCCAGATCCTGCTTCGGACACGGACCCAAATCTGCACTAGGATTTGACTGAGCTCTGGATCACTCAGTCACCCAGCATTGGTGTCAGCACACCACCAACATCAACAGTCGACAACACAAAGAAGAGGAGCGGGACGAGCAGCATGGACAGGACACGTGAAGGTCGTACTAGGTCAGTGCACAATTGTTGCTCAAAAGCAGAAGTGAAGCCCCGGGACCACTGGAGTTTTACTGACTTAATTAAAAAAAACAAAACAAAAAAAACCACACACAACAAAGTGAAAGTCCATCCTGGTTCAATAAATATTTGCGCGTTCAAAGCTGCAGGAGAGCAAAGATCGAGGAGCAGCAGCTCCAGAGCAAGAGTGTCAACAGTTGCTGAGACTGTGGTGAGCCGGAATGTTCTGAGATTCAAGAAAGAGGAAGGCTTAACAGTTCACCTGGTGTTAGCTGACAGCACAGAAGAGGAGGAGCAGGAGGAAGAGGAAGAGGAAGAGGAGGAGCAGGAGAAGAAGGGGGGCAGACAGGTCACCTGAAGAAGTCTGGCATAGTTTAATTCTGAGGATCAGTTGGCTGTAGGTCAAGAGACAAAGGCAGAGAGGATTGAGAAAGACAGGAAGTCCACTTCTGGGTTTGGAGGATCCCCGACAGTCAAGTTCTTCATAAAGAACCTGAGAGATGTGTTCCATATTTAAAAGTCAGAAGGGGAGAAAATGGGGGGGGGGGGTCGGGGGTCAGGGGCTGAGTGAGGGGCAGAGACTGATCTGATTGGAGGAGCTTCTGATGGCCGTTTGACTCTGAGAACGTTTATTTTTTTCCCCCCTACGTATATAAAGTGCAAAATTAGATTGTATTTGCAAAAAACTCCTGGAATAAACTTGATTCATCTACGCGTGTAAAAAAAGTATTTTTTTTAAATACAGTAAACTTTTCCTTTTTTTTAACAGTAATTGTTTTTCTTAAAAAGTTGAAAAAATGTGTTTTTTTATCTTTAATTAAAAAAAACCCTGGTTAACAAGGTTATTACTGTTAAACAGCAAAGGATCACACCTTTACTGCAGTAAAGTATATACAGTAGGCACCTCAAGTTTGGTATAAAGTATTCATGGGAAATAAAAGGTGTTTTTAGACTGTAATTGATCAAAGGATGAGATTGGAAGCTGAGAAAAGTCTTCCTTTTTATCAGTACAAATTAAAAGCGTCCTACTCTAAACTCACTAAAGAAGAAAAAGAAAAGAATTCTCCTTGAACGTCAGGATCTCGGTGATTTTGGTGTGAATTTCGAAAAAAAAACAAACAAAAAAAAAAAACAACTTCATCTCTAGGTTTCAATGACAGCAGTGTGGTTTCTACCTGGACCTGGAGGAAATACTGGGGTCAAGGGTTAAGGTGCATAGCTAGCAGTCAATGTTTTCTTGCTTTCTGTAAACAAGGTGTGAGCACTTCAGGGACGCAAAGGACCACAGGGGCGGCGCTGGAGAGATGTCTGTCTCAGACGGTTGAGACTGACAGATAATAAAAAGGTGAGGAGTAACAAAGTGAGGGAGGCAAGAGAAGCGAGTAAACCAGAGAGAGAGAGAGAGAGAGAGAGAGCGAGAGAGAGAGAGAGAGGAGGAAGCAGGAGATCCAATGCTCGCTAAATGTCTGTGATGTCACGTGGTGTCCAGTGATGATGAGGTTTGCATATGGTATTTGTCAAAACATCCTGAAGCTTTGGTCATTACTGGTGACAGATGTAAAATAAAAAAACGGAAGAAGAAGAGGAGGAGGAGGAGGAGGAGAGGCTACATCAGTCAGACAATTAGAAAGGACAAAAAAAAAACAACAACCAAAAAACAATCCCACTCATGACCACAAGAACCAGCAGGCAATGCCTCGCCACAAAACCAAGGCTCCACTCTCCCAGATCTGCTTAAACTTTTGACAACAGAGAAAAAAAAATTAAATAATATGGCCTTTTTTTTGTTTAAATTAACCCGTACAAAAAGCCAGTCCACACTGCTTCTTCTCCTCTCTCAGTAAAATCACATTCAGCAGTCGCTAAAACCATTCTCTGGCAAAAAAGTTTTTTTTTCTTTTTTCTCTGAAACACCCACAGGTACTGTGCAGGGTTGGGGAAAAAAAGAGAAAGGAAAAAAAAAGGAAAAAAAAAAAAAAGGAGAAGAAGAATCGTTTCCATCATAGAGAACACCAGATATACAGTATTAATCACTTACACGCATACAAACGCACTCACTGATAGTCATGTACATACATACATACAAACAAACATCACCAGAAAGATGAAAAAATAGTAGAAAATAAAAAATAAATCATAAAATAAAAACAAAGACGGAGGCGAGTAGTTATTTACCACAAACTCGGAGCACTAGGTTTTTTTTTTCCTCTGTTGATTCTGAACAAATACATATTCACATTTCTCTGTTATATACAACATACGTTAACACCAACGCTAGTAAAATAACTCAACCTTGTACCTGGTACATGTACTGAGGGACTGCTGCTTCCGTTGAACTGCTGTTGCATAAAAAAGTAAAAATTTGAATAAAAAAAGAAAGAAAAGAAAGTACATGATAAAGTGAATGCACAAGTCGTTTTTGGCATGTTGTTGTTGTTGTCGTCGTCGTTGTTGTGGTCGTTGCAGGATAAAGTCAATGACAGTTGATGAACAGAGGGAAACCAGTTCCATAGGAATGCCTATTCCACGCAGAAGAGTGTGTGTGTGTGTGAGTGTGTGTGTGTGTAAAGACAAAGTGAAGAAGTTGCATCAGGAAACTCCAAAAATACATTCTTTTACATGTTGTGCAGCTGTGTGCTCACGTGGACCAAACAGCGTTCCAGAACGTTCCGTAGGGAAGTGTGAGGAACCGACTCCGAGTCTGAAGTGCTTCAGATTTAGTTCTGTTAAGTGCTGCTAAGGAAACAGGCTGAGCCTGTTCCTGCTGTAGGCCACGTAGGCAGCTGCCTAGGGCGCCATCTGCTGGACGCGGCATCGCCAGAACCCCACATAAAAAACAAACAAACAAAAAAAAAAAAAACTGAGCCGGACCACAACCTGACCTTGTTAACCAAGCGGGCAGGTCTGAGGTCAACTCAGAATCAACTTCCTCCGGGGTTCGTCCTCAAGGTGTTTCTGCACCACTGGGATCAGTACTAGGAACCGGGGACAGCAGCAGTACTCCCACTGTGGGACTTCTGAGTATGAGGTGTTGATTTTAAACAGTTTTCTGTGTGATGTTACACGAGGATCGCTGAGGAGCACCTGTTTGGTCAACGTGACGTCACTGTAGGACAGAGTGTTCAATACATGATACACCAACAGAGGAGCTGGTGGTTGGGAAGTTTGGGGAAGAAGAAGGGGGGGGTCGGCAAGGGGCAGTAGGTTGGAATGTTGACCTGAATGTTGCATATGGTGAAGTGAGTGGTGAACAAGAAAAGGCGGAGGAGCCATGAATCCACTGAAGCAGCATCAGACTGTGTCGTCCACCTAGAGGGAGTGATGACCAACATTTCACCTAAACACTGACGCAAAAAATAACAAACAGAGGAAGAGTTTTTTTTTTTGTTCCCAACAGTTTAGTTTCCTCAAGGTAACGTGTGACTCTGTGCTGGTGACACTACTAAACACAAAGGTCAGGTTTGAGTCCATGAACCAGGACTTAAAACAGGCTGACACCAAGCGACCGTCATGGCCAACCTTTTGCCCCCACACGGGCCTACGTGCCTTATTTTCTCCCACCGATGAAGCAGCTTCAGCTTCAGGTGTTGACGTCCACATGAGGACAGTTGAGTTTTTCAGATTTCTGAACCTGACGTTGACAATCATCTACGAGGCTCAGAACCGTTGAAGTCTTAAAGACCAAAGAGAGAATCATTAACTTTGATTTGGTGAGTGATGGCGACAACACTTTAAGCTCAGACACTCCTCCCTGCTGATGGAGTATTTCTAAAGTACTTCCGAAGTACTTCTGGAACTAGACTGAAACGTAAACTATTCAAAAAGACGGAAGAACTCATGTTAGTCAAAAACAGTGAGGTGTATTGAAACAAAGAGTATTAATGTAAGTCAGTGGACCTACAACCACGTGTGGCACTTGGACGCCCTCTGGTGGTATACCGAGGACACTTTTTTTTTTTTAACCTTAAACAGAGGTTTAAAAAGACTCCAGTCCTGGAGTGGGAAAAAGTATTTGCCAGATAAACTTTCCAATAACTTTGGAAATGAAATCTCTTCCCTATAAAAAAGGTCTGGCCGTAGGTTAATGTTGGTCAGACCGGTGGAACTCATCACCCACATCTCCACAACAGGTGTCTTCTGTGGACACCAGTTCACCTACTGCTAACATAAGGGTCACCACCCAGTCACTGTACGTTCCCTGACGGAACAACTGCTGTTGAACTCTGTTGGACATTTTCATCAATGTATGAATTTAAAACTGCGTCTGACGTTGAGTTGACCTGTGACACAGATGCAGCGTCTCAGCTGGAGGTGGACTGTTGGTCAGCACACACTCAATGTGTGGAACTTCACTGTTATCACGAGAGAGAGGGAGAGAGAGAGAGAGACAGTGTCCGACTGAGTCGTCAACAGTAGGAGGCAGAAAACTTGATGAACCTCTGTGTGTGTGTGTGTGTGTGTAACCAGTGGAGTGAAGTCTTGGCCAGGAAACCAGAAATGAGGGTTAAATAACAATAAAATAAAAAAAAGACAAATAATCCCAAATAAAACAGACCATACAAGTGTGGAAATACACATTCTCAGGGGGTGAGGAGAAAGAAAAACAAAACAAAAAAACAACTCTAATCCTTAAAAGAAAACAAAAACGTTCTTTCTGTGACTCCGCCCCCCTCCTGTGTCTGATCTCTTTGTTGAATTAATCGTCCGTCACATTTCTGTTAGGATCTTCTACCACTAAAGCTTCTAGGTAAATGTCATTACGTAGGAACAATACTCAGGAGAGGTGAGGCGTTCACTGCCACGACTGTCCATGAGCGCAGCCAACGCCGCACCTCTGGGGTATTATCATCAATATTATTATACTTTTTTATACAATGGTTACAAACATGTGTACTGTCTGTAAAAGTTCTTTTTGTACATACATGATTAAAAAAAAAGAAGAAGAAACAAAATAAAACGATGGCTAACTAGCTTCCTGGTGAAAGAAAGCGAAAGCAAACCCCTTCACACCGGAGAAAATGTCGCTACTTTACTGGAACGCAAGGGGGTGCTAAAGAGAAAGAGCCAGAGAGCTAGAGCTATATTTAAAATCTGCTTTAAAATTGCTTTAAATTTTTCTATCCTTTTTCACATTTGCCAAAATGGGAAAAACACACTTCCTCCTTCACCCCCCTCCCCCCACTGCAACATGAGCAACCTGACAATATCCTGATGCCAAAAGAATCATTTTACAAAAAGACGAGCTGTCGTTGAAAGATCTGTTGTGTTGAAAAAAGAAAAAAAAAAAACCTGGATCAATCACATTATACATAGTTTTGCCGTTCAGAGTTAATTACACTTTTCTCTCTCTTTTTTTCTTTTATAAAAAAAAAAATACAACAGGAAAGCAGTTCCAAGAAAGGAGAGTGAGCTCACCCCCGTCTCCCCCAAAAGTCTTTGTCCTTCTATACTGTACAATACTACCCGCCTGCTTGGTGCACGTGGAAAACAACACTGATAGGCTGAGAGGAGAAAGAACCAAAGGAACACAGAGAGGAAAGAGGAGAAGAGAGGACGAGCCTGACGGGGCTCAGTATTCACAGCTGCGGAGGTGAGGGGGGGGAGTGGGGTAAAAATGTGACGGACAGACAGTTAAATAATTATAACAGTCCTTTTTCTTACCTTATAACTTTGAAAATAATAAAAATAATTAAAAAAACACCCTCCTCCCTGAAGGGGGAGAAAGACACATAAGTTCCAAAAACTGAGCAGCATCCGATCTGTCTCCCATCCATCCATCCATTCATCTATCCATCCGTTGGTTTGTTCGTCCATCCATCCAGCCCTGTCCAATTCCAGCTGTTGTCAAAGCTTGTTCAGATGATCCCAAAGATGATGAAGATGACGATGATGATGATGGTGAGAGCAGAAGTTTCTGTTTCATTAACATAAAAGAAATGAACCAAAAATCAGAGTAAAAATAATTAAAAAAAAGGATTTCATAAAAGTCCAAGTTGAAGTAGTAGTAGTAGAAGAAGAAGAAGAAGCAGAGTTTTTTTTCCCCATTTGTAGAAAAAAAAAAACCCTCCAACTTCCACCAGGCACTGTTGCTGATAGAGAGAGACAGTCACAGAACCAGCTGGTACTGAGCTTCTATCCCACAATGCCGCAGAGGTCTGAAACCTTTAAACATTCCCACATCGCTGAGAGACAGGTAGAAGAAAAAAAAAAGGATCCAAAAACAGAAAGAAATTTAAAGATATAAATCGGAAACAAAACAAACAAACTGCTGAGCAGCAGCTGCACGCTGCTGCCCCAGCTCTCAAATGCTGCTGCTGCTGCTGCTGACAGAAACCATCTGATCAGGACAAGAGTAAAACAAAAACAGAAAAACCAGAAAGGAGAGAAAAACCATAAGAGAGGCCGGCCCTGATTTGACAGTGACGACAACTTGGCAAATCTTACGATGGTGTCGCTGTAGTTTGTTTGTTTGTTTTTTTTTTTTACTCTTGGGTCAGGAAGCAGGAAGTAGGTCACCGAGGAATGAGCAGCAAAGACAACGCTGCCTTTGAATAGGCTGAGGCAGACAGACAGGTTGTCAGACAGATTAGACAGGCAGGTTTAAAAAACAAAAAAACAAAATAAAAAACACATACACTGCTGCTCCTTCTGACTTAAGTCTTTTTCTTTTTCCTTAACAGTTTGCAGGCTGTTCAACTTAATCCAGCTCTGAATCCCCTCCCCCCTCCATCCCCACAGAAGTGGTTCAGCTGTGTGGCTCCACCCACAACTATACCTCTCCCAAGTCTAATCTGCAGCCGTCCTGACATCCATCCCTTCGTCCAAAAGGTGAGACAGAGACAGCAATGGATCTGGAGCGCTGATGTCCAAAGAGGAGGACAAGGAGGAGGAGGAGGCGTGGGAAGTAAGAAGGAGCAGGAGAGCTGTTGGAGGGTGGGGGCGGGGGGGTGGTGTCACTCGGTCAGCAGCTGCTGGAGGAGGCTCTTCTGCTGGGCCTGGTTGTTCTGGGAGCCCTGCGGCACGGGGCCCTTCTGGGACGGTGCCGATCCAATAGGACCCTGGTTCAAGTAGGACTCACTGCCGACCAGGTTCACCGTGCACTGGACGTCGGCAAACACTTGAACCTGCTGCACCTGAGGAACAAATCCACAACAATCATCAATATGTTAATGTTTTTATCCAACACAACAAGATTAAACCTGGTGAGATCCAGTCACGACTTTGGGTTTAATTAATGACTAATATATAAAAACACTGTCTTAGTGAAAACGTAAAACCTGGTGAGATCCAGTCACGACTTTTGGTTTAATTAATGACAATAATGATGATGAATAAGGAAGATTCTTGAATTGAACCAATCCTTCTTTGTCTGTGTATTTCTAAAACAGAAAATCAAACATAAGCAGGTAGGGGGCACTGTTTCTCATCTGTTCACTATCTGTAACTAATCCAAGTGACAGAATTATTTATATGGAACAACATCAACAATAATATATAAAAACACTGTCTTAGTGAAAACGTATCTTCATACAGTTGGTGGATTTTAGTCATTACATCATCATGCCTGTAGCATCGCTGCCCCTGCCAGATTCCGGCCAATACACACCCCTAATGGACAGTGGAATAATTGAATTGTTATCGGTGCTTCATTCTGGCCATGGGCTGAGTTTAAAATAACCTGAAAATAGATTAGCAGTGTCTCTGAGGACAGGGGTTGGGACAGAAACCTGACGAGCGATGACGAGACCAACCTGCTGGTCGCTGCACACCGCACCCACATTGTTGAGGTTATTGTTGCTCATGCTGACCGTCTGCCCCATGGGAGGTAACGAGCCCACGCTGCCTGAGCCTCCCGCCATGGAGACAGTGATGCTCATGTTGTTGTACACCCCCTGCTGGCCAAACGCCTGTCCTGCACTCTGTCCTGACTGACTAAACAGACTGCAGCGAAAAAACAAAACCAAGACAAACATGAGTGAATTTTCCACTGACTTCAGTATCTGCTCACGCGGCATCTGCGGCGGCTGCTGCTGTTGAGGTGTCGTGATTGGACCCTTCGGGACCCTCGCAGTTCCGACGGCACCCATGGCTCCGGTTGGGGCCCCCGCCATGTTTTGTCTCATCAACATGACCTTCTGTTGGAAAAGCTGACGCTGGCGGTGCTGGATGCTGTAGAGTTCCCTCTGACGCTGGGCCAGCATCTGGGCGTTCAGTGGAGGCTGCTGACAGACAAGTGTTGTTGTGTTGTTAGGACGCAGGAGAGAAACGACTTTTTACAAGTAATTCTATCGACTTTGGTTTTACCTTTTCTTCACTTTAAATTTGCTAATACGGAGCATTTGTTCAGCTTAAGCTTCAGAGAATTATTTTTTGCCACCTGGGGGCAGCAGAATTTTTTTTTGGGAAAGTAAACACTATATGAACATTGATTGAATTTATTTTGTTGATCATAATTAGCTGAATTAATTAAAGATTTGCCTGGACTAAACATTTTTTTGATGGACTTAAAAGTCTTAAGGTCTGCAACAAACAATGTGCAGTTACATTTTTCTTAAAAATCCAGTTAGAAAAAAATAAATGACTTGAGGTATAAAAATACACCCCCTGCATTTCTGGTAATTTATTTAGTATTTATTACACATATTTATCAATAAATACATATGTACTGAAAAATTAAAAAACTCCACTACACCATGTTAAGATGTACAGATAAACTCTAGGTGACTTGTTCTATGAGAGGCAAGTGGAACCATCAGCTGACCTGTGTGGGAATCTGAGGCTGTTGGACCCCCTGACGAACGCCCATGTTCACGTGCTGGGCTCCTGCAGTAAACTGATTCATGCCTGACATTCTGTTCTGGAGCTGAGACACAGGAAAACACAAGGTGAGGACTGAGGAAACCTTGTTAGAATAATCAGAATAAAATCTATTCAGAAACTTCATTTCTGGAACTACCTGGTTGACAGAGAACTGTAAAGACCCTCCCTGCCTCCTCACCTGCTGCGGCCCCTGCACCCTCTGCTGCAGCTGTAGACGCAGCTGATTGGGTGGCAGTCTGAGCTGCGTGCCTACACCCTGTGGTTGATTCATGCCCGGCCTCAGACCTATGCCCGTCCCGATGGGAAAAGCCGCTCGGGGGGCTCCGAACCCCAGGCCCTGTGGCCCTACTGGCACCAGCTCTGGAGGAAACTGAGCCTGAGGAGCAGGTGTAAACTGCGGAGGGTAGGCAGGGAGTTTGGGGTCCATGGGAACCGGGGTGGCAGTGGGTGGCTGGTTTGGGAAGTTTTGAGGCATCGGGTCAAAGCAGCCGCCCTATAAAAAAAAAATCAATGAAAATAAATAAAATGTTTAGCAAAGACATGACACAAAAGTCTGAAATTTGAATCCTATCATTAAATCTGACTGGATGATACGTCAGCTGCAGCGACGCCAACATTGGAGCCTTTGATTAATTACAGTAACTCCGTAATTACCTCTAATTTACCAATGTTAACACTGAACACTGGCTGCAGGTGATGAGAGCTCCTCACCCCCTTCTGCCCCCCCCAACACCCCCCTACCTGGACCAGCTTGTCGATGCCCAGGGCCTTGTCCAGCTTAGCCAGCTCGCTCTCGTCCGTCCCACTGAGGAAGGAGACCAGCTGCTCCAGCCGGGCTTTCTCTTCG